CATACAAGATGTGTAGATTTTCTGAGTTCTTGCATGTCTGATAATGTACTTTGTCCTCATACATGACATTGTTGTTTGGCGGGCCGGGCAGGATTCGAACCCGCCACCTTAGGTGTATGTGGCTGGTGCCTTAGCCGCTTGAGCCACAGGCGCCGAGCCAGCTGGACTGTTTTAACTGGTTTGGGTTTAGCTAGTTTGCAGGATCAGTGGGCAGCAGGTTGCCCCCGGCTCTGCCCTTGACCACCCAGCAACCTTAGTTCCAGGAAGAGGCCGACTCTGTCAGCCAGACCTTGGCGAAGCTCAACTCCAACTTGGACAGCAAGTACAGCCCTGCCCCTGGGAGCCTCCCTGGTGCCCCCACAGAGCTGCTGCGACAGCTAGAGGTGAGACAACCCCACCAGGCCACCTGAAGGCTACTCCTGGGAATTAGGCCTGCCGACTTTCTGGGCCTCATACCTCCTTACCCCAGCCTGGGCGGCAGGGGAGGGGGTCTGCTCCAGCAGAAGGAGGCTGGCCAGTAACCAGCAACCACATCCCCTCTCTGGACCTCATTTTTTTCATCTGTAACGTGACAAGGGCAGCCTGTGAAAGCTTGAGCCCCTACTACCCCCACCCCACAACGAGCAGATCATAGGATCCTGGGCTCTTGGGGGGAGGGCTCCTTTTATTTTATTGACTTAGGACTTGCCTCCATGAAGGCCAGAACCTGACCTTCCTGGAGGATGGGGGGAGGGGGCTGGTTTCCAGTGCAGCCTGACCTGAGCATCCCCTGCATGGGTCCCCAGCAGGCAGAGGAGAAGCAACTGGGGGTCACCGAGAAGGTCATTGGAGACCTGCAGCGGCTCAGCCAGGAGGTGGCCCCTCTGCCACAGCGCAGAACCCCACCCCAGCAACCCCTTCAAGTGGACAGCATCTGTGACTGGGACTCAGGAGAAGTACGAACCCTGCTTGTTCCACCCGTCTGTCCCCATCCCCTGGCCCTGGGCAATCGCACCCCTGCTCCAGCACCAGCCACTTCTGTGCCTGCCTCTGCTGGACTCCATCCCCTGACCCAGGCCTGTCCTCTGATCTGTCCCTGTCCCCAGCCCTTACCCTATTTTGGCCTTGGCCCCTGTCCTGAGCCTGCATGGCTCACTCCCCATCTGTCCCCCAGGTGCAGCTGCTTCGTGGTGAGCGGTATTCACTGGTGGACAACACTGACCCACACACTTGGGCTGTGCAGGGCCCTAGCGGGGAGACCAAGAGTGCCCCAGCCGCCTGCTTCTGCATCCCAGCCCCAGACCCTGAAGCTGTGGCCAGGGCCTCCAGGTGAGCCTGGCTAGGGCAGGAGACAGGCTGTGGGCCAGACTAGGCTTTGTGGTGTCCAAGGCCTGGCAGACCCCTGACTTAAGCCCGGACTTCACCTGGAGCCATGTCTGCTGGGGTAGGGGAGGGAGAGAGAGGAGGGACATCCTCGTCTGATATCCTCCTTGTTCCAGGCTGGCCTCAGAGCTTCAGACCCTGAAGCAGAAACTGCTCACAGTCCAGAACTGCCTGAAGGCCAGTGCCAGGGAGCCCATACGGCCTGGCCAGCAGGGTATCAAGGGCTGGCTGGGAAAGGGGGTAGCTGTTGGGATAGAAAGGGCAGAATACTACTTTGGCCACTGCCAGTGGGGCTGTGATGGGGTGGGAATGACCCTGGAGTTAGGGATATCTACTCAGAAGCTGTTCCTATTAGGCCCTGCCCATCCCCTTCCAAGCTGCCCATCCCCTTCCAACCATGCCCCCCACAGGACCCTCTGTGGACACTCATGTATAGACAGGAGATAGGCCCTGGGCCCTCACCTGCACCCTCTGCCCCTAGCTCCAGCTGGCTCAGCGCCGGCCAACCCACAGGCTCAGAAGCTCCTGACACAGATGACCCAGCTGGATGGGGACCTGGAGCAGATAGAGAAGCAGGTGCTGGCATGGGCCCGGACCCCAATGAGCCGCACTTCCCCACTGGAGGACCTGGAGGGTCGCATCCACAACCAGGAGGTGGGTGAGCAGTGGGCAGGGCTCTGCCCTGAGGGCACACACTCTTTAGGGAGGTGATGCAAGCCAAGGAACAGCTGCCAAGACCCAAGGTGTAGGAGGGGTGTGGACAGTCCAGGCTCAGATAGACTGGTTCTCGTCCTGTCTCCTCCCCAAACCGGGCATAATAATACCCAACTTGTTTGGTTGCCTGATGGAGGATAAAGTGTGGTAATGCTGGGGAAGGTTCTAGCAGGACTAGTATAAAGGACTCACACCCAGGAGCTGTTCTGGCTGAGGTCCTGAGAGTTGCAAGGAAGCCTGGGGTCTATTTTTTTTTTTTTCTTTTCTTTTCTGAGACAGAATCTTACTTTGTCACCCTTGGAAGAGTGCTCACAGCAACCTCAAACACTTGGGTTCAAGTGATTCTCTTGCCTCAGCTTCCTGAGTAGCTGGGACTGCAGGTGTCCATCACAATGGCTGGCTACATTTTTAGAGACAAAGGTCTTGCTCTAGCTCAGGCTGATCTCAAATTTGTGAGCTCAGGTGATTAGCCTTCCTCAGCCTCCGGGAGTGCTGGGATTACAAGTGTGAGCCATCGTGCCTGGCTGAAGACTGGGGTATTTTAGGAGCAATTCCTCCTGGTTTGATGGGGGATCCTTGCTGGAGAGGTTGCAGGGTTGTGCAAACATCATAAGAGGAGAACAAGTTTTCTGCCACGGGACTCAACACCCCTGAAAGTGCTCCATGTGAAGTCTGCCCTTCCCCACACCTGGTGGCAGCAGTCTGGGCTACCTTTCTAAGCTGGTTTGGCTCTAAAAACTTTAAATCACGTTGTTCACATTCTTGGGCAACATGTTACTTTCTCTCCACAATGTTCTATAGACATGAGGAGGCAGTAGTCAGCTAGGGCAGAGGTCCAGGCAAGGCTGGAGGGGCTCCCAGAGTGGGACAGCAGCAAGGTCAGGGGCTCAGAGGCAACTCTGAAATGGAGAAAAGTGTGCCAGCATTCTTAGGGGGTCTCTTGAGGAGACGTCTGTGGAAGGGAGGGGGCAGGGGGTGTGAGTTGCTGTGCTGTCTTAGCCAAGGCCTCAGCTCCTGGAAGCTCCTAGAGCTATGGTGGGGGCTGCCCTCTCTACCACATATCAGTAAGTCACTGGCTGCCTTGTGGGGCATGGTGGTTTCCAGAGCGACTGACCGTGGAGGCTGTCAAACCCACGTAAGTCCTTGGGTTTTGAAGGTACAGCATCTGGCGCATCATGGTGTTGGGGGGCCCCAGGAAGCTTGGTCAGACTAGCTGGCAGGTGGCACTTGGCACAGACTTGGCACTACACGTTAACCTATGGGATGGAGGAGTATCTGAATGATGGGGGAATGGCAGCAATAATCCCCGGGGGACAGAGCCAGGGCTTTGGTTCTCTGAACCTGGAGGGACAGGATCAGGGGACCTGCAGCTGTTGTGAGAGGACAAGGTGAAGATGACAGGAGGCAATGTTGAGCCTAGGGATGGTGTCATCCTTTCATCAGTCATACCCCCATCAGTCTCATGTAGATGAAGAGACTGAGGGTCAGAGAAGTTGACCTGCCCTAGGTGAGCCACATGGGGACTAGTAGGGCCAGGACTGTACCAGGTTCCCTGACTGTGCCCAAGCACATACCCACCACACTCCCCTGCCTTCCTGTGCACAGTGAGGTTGACCTCACAGGAGACCTGGGCAGAGCCCACAGCCCAGCGACCTGACTCCACCCCTTCTTCAGGGTACAGCCCAGCGCCTACAGAAACTGGGAGCTGAGAAGGAGGCAGCCCAGCAGGAGTGCGAGGCATTTCTGTCAGCACGGCCCATGGGCCCTGCTGCCCTGCAGCTACCTGTGGCCCTTAACAGTGTCAAGAACAAGTACAGCGACGTGCATGTTCTGTGCAACCTCTATGGGGAGAAGTGAGTGCTTGGGGCCCTGGGCAGGGCAGCAGGCTGCAGACGAGGGGCTGTCTGACCCTGAACCTAACCTCTTCCCCTCCGTGGCAGAGCCAAGGCTGCCCTGGGTCTGGAGCGGCAAATCCAGGACTCGGACAGGGTCATCCAAGGCTTCGAGTCCGTCCTGGCACAGGAAGCCCCCATCCCTGATGACCCGAGGGCGCTACAGGAGAGAGCCAACGAGCTGCAGGTGAGGGGCTGGTGAGGGCCTCCTGGCAGGAAGGGGACAGCCTGGCTGAGAAATTTGGGGGTGGGTGAGTGGGGTGAACCTATGTCTCACCACACCATGAGGGTACATGGTGCTGTGTCCCCTGTCCCTAGCTCCAACGGAGGGAACTGCTGGGACAGCAGGCCTGTGTTCTGGGGCTGCACCGCCAGCTGAAGGCCACAGAGCACGCATGCGCTGTACTGCAGAACAACTTCCAGGAGTTCTGCCAAGACCTGCCACGCCAGCAGCGCCAGGTGCGGGCCCTCACTGACCGCTACCATGCCGTGGGGGACCAGCTGGACCTGCGGTGAGAAGACCCTCAGGGCACATGGCATGAGCTGGGTGGAGCCTGGGCATTGCTGCCTGCAAGCCATGTTACCTTGGAGTGGTGATTTTCCCACTCTGAGGCTCTGTGGCCCCACCTCTAAAATGGGAGAACAGTGCCAGGTAGGCCTGGCAGAGCCTAGACACTTCCATCTCTGTATCCCCAGCACAGGGTCAGAGAGTAGGGGATCTGCAGGGCAGGTCACCCAGGCTTCCTGACCTGTCCCAGGGAGGAGGCTCCCCCCAGCCTCCTCCATGCATCCCTTGCCTGTCCCCAGAGGGCAGCTCTCACCATGTTCTGGGCCTCATCTTCCTGCAGGGAGAAGGTTGTGCAGGACGCCTGCCTCACCTACCAGCAGTTCAAAAACTGCAGGGACAACCTGAGCTCCTGGCTGGAGCACCTCCCCCGCAACCAGGTGCGGCCCAGTGATGGGCCCAGCCAGATCACCTATAAGCTGCAGGCAGAGAAGGTGAGGGGCTGGGCTGCGGGTGACCTGACCTGGGGCCTAAAGCAATAGCCACCTCCCTGGCCACCTCCCCACATAGACAGCTGCCTGTGCACATGAGGCCCCCTAGCGGCCAAGGCTCAAAAGCATTCTGAGAGGCCACCGAGGCTTTAGGTCACCCCTCTTCCTGATCTCCACTTGAAATGTACCACTTTGTCCATGGAAACGGCCAGCCCATCTCTGAGGTGGGCTATGGGATTTGCGCTCAGGCCACAGAGTCTGAGAATTCCAACTACTGCTATGTCTTCCTCACACTTGCCAAACCCCTGCCGCATGAACTGGGGCCAGGGTAGTGCTGCCCCAGGCAGCTCGCAGTCAGGAAGCAGGATAGAGAACTAGCTCCCCAAGGGTGTGCCTGTGGAACTCCCATGGAGTTTTGGGCAAATGGAGTGGAAGGATCCTCCACAAAAGCTGAGATTGGAAGGTAGATGGGGGAGTGGCTAGGGGAGGGGGTGAAACGTCCCAAGCACGCATGGCAGTCAAGGGACAAGGGGGGGGGGATCTCAGGCAAGGGGACCAGATGAGGAGAAGACCACGCAGGTCCTGCCCAGCCCGAGAAGGAGGCTGGACTCTACCCTGTAGCCAGGGTAGAAGGTGGGCACCCCTAAACTGGCATCTAGAAGCTGGCTCTGCTTACAATTGGAGGATGGCCCAGAGGATGGGAATAAAACAAGAAGGCTCGTGAGGAGCGAGGGTAGAAATCCCGTGAGAGACAGTGGTGGCTTGGGCTACAGGGAAGGCCCATAGGATGTGGAAAGAGGTGGGCAGTTGAGAGATATCTCAGAGAGACAGAGATGGCAGCGTTGGGTGAACTGCTTGGAGGGAGCAGGGGAAGAGGGGGTGCCCCCACCTGAGGGAACGGACCACATTTGGGGAGAAGAAATGAGGTCAGCTGGGTCATGCTGAGCATGGGGGGCCAACACAGCCTAGGGGTGCCAGGGAGGTTCATGGGAGGGAGTCGTGCACTGAGGATGCCTCCCCAAGAAGAGCAAAGATGGGCCTGGGACTGTGGAGAAAATAAGAACATGTGGGGAGATGTAGGGGGTGACATAAGGAAGGAAGAGTCCGAGGACAGAAATTCACAGCCCTGGCTGCAGATTAGGATCTCCCAAGGAGCTTTTAAAATACCCCAGTCTAGGGCTCCTCCGCAGGCCAAGTAAACTGGAGTCAGGCTTGCTGCGGCAGCACATACACGGAAATTAGCACGATGCAGAAAAGATAAGCATGTCATTGCAAGATGACATGCAAATTCACAGTGTTTGATGTTTTTCCTTAGGTAGTTGTGATCACTCACCGTAGTTTGCTTTTGTAGTGGTTTGGCAAGGTTAGAAGCCCTCAGCCTCTTTACTGCGGTGGGCAGGGCTTACTGTCCGTGCTCTTGGAAGAACCGGCCATCCTGAGTAACTTAATGGAGTAATTATTCTATTCTTCTTTTACATACAGAAATGCTTAAGATATTTGTTTGTTTGTTTGTGAGACAGAGTCTCACTCATTCACCTTGGGTAGAGTATCGTGGTGTCACAGCTCACAGCAACCTCAAATTCATGGGCTAAAGTGATCCTCTGGCCTTAGCCTCCCAAGTGGCTGGGACTACAGGACGTGCCAAAATGCCCAGATATATTTAAGTATTTTATTTTATTATTATTATTTTTTTAGAGACAGTCTTGTTTTGTCACCCTTGGTAGAGTGCCGTGGCATGACAGCTCACAGCAACCTTTAGCTCTTTGGCTTAGGTGATTCTCTTGCCTCAGCCTCCCAAGTAACTGAGACTTAAAGGTGCCCACCACAATGCTTGGCTATTTTTTGTTGCAGTTTGGCTGGGGCCGGGTTCAAACCCACCACCCTCTGTATATGGGGCTGGCACCCTACTTACTGAGCCACAGGTGCCGCCCTATTTAAGTATTTTAAATGGAAGCCAGGCACAGCACTTCATACCTGTTGTCTTGGCATTTGGGGAGGCTGAGGAGAAAGGATTGCTTGAGTGTAGGAGTTATTATTATTATTATTTATTTAGAGACAGAGTCTCACTTTGTTGCCCTTGGTAGAGTGCTGTGGCGGCACAGCTCATTGCAACCTCCAGCTCTTGGGTTTAGACGATTCTCTTGCCTTAGCCTCCCGAGTAGCTGGGACTATAGGAACCTGCCACAACATCCGGCTATTTTTTGTTGCAGTTTGGCCAGGGTCAGGTTTGAACCCGCCACCCGTGGCATATGGGGTCAGAGCCCTACTAACTGCACCACAGGCGCCACCCCTTAAATTGGATTTTCTTTCACAGATACCAATTATTCTTTCCAATTCTTTTTTTTTTTTATTAGCAACAACTACTTTTGTTTGTTTCTTTGAGACAGAGTCTTAAGCTGTCACCCTGGGTAGAATACCATGGTGTCACAGCTCACAGCAACTTCAAACTCCTGGGCTCAAGGGATTCTCTTGCCTCAGCCTCCCAAAGTAGCTGGGACCATAGGCTCCTGCCACAACACCCGGCTATTTTTTTTGTTGCAGTTGTCATTGTTGTTTAGCTGGCCCAGGCTGGGTTTGAACCTGCCAGTCTCAGTGTATGTGGCTGGCACCGTAACCAGTGTGCTATGGGCACCGAGCCTATTCTTTCCAATTCTTAAATTTAAAAAATTGTACTTAAACAAACAAAACCTCACTGGAGTCAGAACATCAGTATATTTTTAAGCAGAGAGAGTGAAGCTAGGAAGAGGAGGGACTCCCATATGGCCCTTCCTGTCTCTGGTGGGCATGATCTGGCTGACTTGTGGCCCTAGAGGTACAGGTTGGAGAAGAGCCAAGGTGAGTGGTGGCATTTCCTGGCCTCCCACTCCCAGGCTAGAGTATAGCGGCATCATCACAGCTCACTGAAACCTCTAACTCCAAGGCTAAAGCAATCGTCCTGCCTCACCGTCCTAAGTAGTGAGACTATAGGCATGCACCACTACGCCTGGCTGATTTTTCTATTTTTAGTAGAGACGGGGTCTCAGTTTTGCTCAGGCTGTTCTCAAACTCTTGGCCTCCAGTGATCCTCCCGCCTTGGCCTCCCAGAGTGCTGGGATTGCATGGGTGAGCCACCACACTTGGCCACCTCCCAACTCTTGATTCTTCCCTGGCAGAGGCTGATGAAAGAGATCAAAAGCCGAGAGCAGGACAGGGCCACGATGTCCCGGCTCTCCCAGGACTTGCAGGCAGCTCTCCAAGTAAGCCAGTTTCACTTCAGTTTGTCCTTCTTTATCCTCCCCACCTCTCTCCCATTCCTGTTCCCCTACGAGTGGCTTTCCCCACTGACTTCCAGCCTGCTGTCCTTTCCTCCCTGCTTAGGACTATGAGCTGCAGGCAGACACCTACCGCTGCTCCCTGGAGCCCACACTGGCAGTGTCAGCTCCCAAGAGACCCCGAGTGGCTCCCCTGCAGGAGAGCATCCAGGCCCAGGTGAGACAGGACCTGGTGGGGCTCAGTGTCCAGCACCAGCACCAGCTCTGCAGACTCCAAGGCTGACTCTTCCTCCCTTTGCTCTTCCAGGAGAAGGACCTTGCAAAGGCCTATACTGAGGCTGCAGCGGCCCACCAGCAGCAGCTGCACCAGCTGGAGTTTGCTAGAAAGATGCTGGAGAAGGTACAGAGATGACACCAACTCTGTTCCCTTGATAGCTGAACATGCACTTCATTCCCCCCACCCAGTGGTCAGACTGTCCTCCCTTCCTCCTTTTCTTACAGCCCCTGGGCAGGCTCAGCAGCTCGAGGTGGGTGCAGCTCCCTGCCTCCCACAGTTTTCTCCCCAGTGGCTGTAACAGCCTGGTACCAATCCCAGAGCTAGGCCCTGGAGATGCTGTTCAGTGCAGTCACAGCTTGGCCATTAGGCAGTCTGATGATGGGACAGGACCATTAACTCTAGAGAACAGAGAAAATCCCCCAGAATCTTCAGCCTTGGACCCAGACACAATGGCAACAGGTCACCTGGGAGTCCGTCCCTGGTGGACCAGGAGCCAGCTCTCTAGGATCTTTGTGGCCTGCCAGCTTTTCTACCACCCTTGGCCATAGTCCAGCATCCCTCATAGGAGTATGAGCCCATCTCTGGGAGCCTGAGTGGAAAGGAAAGGGGGAAAGGTACAGAAAGGAAGGGAGTGCCTATCCTATCTGCACTTTCTAGAGCTGACCTGTACACTGCCCTGTGTCCTGCCTTCACAGCACTGACTGGGGCCCCTCAAAGTCCTGCATCTAAGCATCTCAGGTGTTCAGCTCCATCTCCCAGGACCTACCAGAAAGGCTGAGGAGCCAGCCAGGGGTCTCTTGGTCTTGGGGATGGGGTACAGGAAGAAGCTCATGTCTTTCCTCCTCTCACCCCTGCTCTCCTTCTTCCTGTCACTCTGCAGAAGGAGCTCAGTGAGGACATCCAGGCAACCCATGGTGCAGGGCAGGGGTCTGAGGACCCAGCTCAAGCAGGGAGGGAGTCAGAGGTCCTGAAGTCCCAGCTGGAGGAGGAGAGGAAGCGGGTGGCCCAGGTGCAGCATGAGCTGGAGATGCAGAGGAGCCAGTTGCTACAGCTGAAGACCCAGCGGCCGCTGGAGAGGCTGGAGGAGAAGGAAGTGGTGGAGTTCTACAGGGACCCCGAGCTGGAGAGCAGCCTGTCCAAGCTGAAGGCCCAGCTGGAGGAGGAGGGCAAGAGGCGGGCCAGCCTGCAGGCAGACCTGGAGGCGGCAGCGCAGAAGGTTGTCCAGCTGGAGAGTGAGAGGAAGACCAAGCAGCCTCACCTGCTGACCAAGGAGGTCACGCAAATAGAGAGGGACCCCAGCTTGGACAGCCAGGCGGCCCAGCTCAGCAGCAGGATCCAGCAGGTCCGAGGGGAGGATGCTGTCATTGTGGCCCAGGTGGAAGAGCTGAAGAAGGAGCTACTGGCCCTTGAGCAGAGGGAGGCGGACGTGAAGGAGAAGATTGTGGTGAAAGAAGTGGTCAAGGTGGAAAAGGATCTGGAAATGGTCAAGGCAGCCCAGGCTCTGAGGCTGCAGATCGAGGAGGATGCTGCGAAGAGGAAGGGAGCAGAGGAGGCTGTGGCCAAGCTGCAGGCCCGCATTGAAGACGTGGAGCGGGCCATCAGCTCGGTAGAGCCCAAGGTCATTGTGAAGGAAGTAAGGAAGGTGGAGCAGGACCCAGGCCTTCTCCAAGAGTCTTCCAGACTCAGGAATCTCCTGGAGGAGGAGAGGAAGAGGAACATGATGCTGGCAGGGGAGCTGAGAGAGCTGCGCAGCAAATACAGCATGGTACAGACTCAGAAGCCCAAGGTACAGCTCCAGGAGCGTGTCCATGAGGTCTTCCATGTGGACCCTGAGACGGAGCAGGAGATTGCACGACTTCGCACCCAGCTGCAGGAGGCTGCTGGCCGCAGGAGTGGCGTGGAGAAGGAGGTGGAGCGGCTGCTGCCTGAGCTGGAGGGCCTGCGAGCACAGAAGCCCATGGTGGAGTACAAGGAGGTGACCCAGGAGGTGGTGAGGCACGAGAGGAGCCCGGAGGTGCTGCGTGAGGTCGACCGCCTGAAGGCCCAGCTCAATGAGCTGGTCAACACCCATGGGCGCTCCCAGGAGCAGCTCATCCGGCTGCAGGGTGAACGCGATGAGTGGAAGCGGGAGCGGGCAAAGGTGGAGACCAAGACAGTGAGCAAGGAGGTGGTGCGGCGCGAGAAGGACCCGCTCCTGGAGAAGGAGGCCGAGCGGCTCCGCCAGGAGGTGCGGGAGGCGGCCCAGAGGCGGCGGGCAGCCGAGGACGCAGTGCACGAGCTGCAGAGCAGGTACCTGCTGCTGGAGCGCAGGAAGCCTGAGGAAAAGGTGGTAGTGCAGGAGGTGGTGGTCACCCAGAAGGACCCAAAGCTGCACGAGGAGCACAGCCGGCTGGGTCACAGCCTGGACGAGGAGGTGGCCCGGAGGCGGCAGCTAGAGCTGGAGGTGCAGCAGCTGCGGGCTGGCGTGGAGGAGAAAGAGGGGATGCTCAGCTTTGGTGAGGACCGTGGCAAGAAGCTGGCGGCGGAAAGGGAACTGCGGCAGCTGAGCCTGAGGATCCAAGAGCTAGAGAAGCGGCCGCCTGCGGTGCAGGAGAAGATCATCATGGAGGAAGTAGTCAAACTGGAGAAGGACCCAGACCTGGAGAAGTCCACAGAAGCCCTGCGGTGGGACCTGGACCAGGAGAAGGGCCGGGTATCTGAGCTGCATCGGAAGTGCAAGAACTTGCAGGTCAAGATCGACGTCCTCCAGAAGGCCAAGTCACAGGAGAAGACCATCTACAAGGAGGTGATCCGGGTGCAGAAGGACCGGGTGCTAGAGGACGAGAGGTCCCGCCTGTGGGAGCTGCTCACCAGGGAGCGCAGGGCCCGGCAGGCCCAGGAGGAGGCCCTGCGGCATCTGCGGGACCGGATCGAGAGGGCAGAGGCCCTGGGGAGGACCTGGTCCCGGGAGGAGGCTGAACTGCAGAAGGCCCGGGACCAGGTGGGCCAGGAGCACGGACGGCTGCAGCAAGAGCTGCAGACGCTGGAGAGACAGAAGCAGCAGCAGGCACTGCAGCTGCAGGAGGAGTCAAAGCTGCTCAGCCAGAAGACGGAGATGGAGCAGCAGAAGGCGGCCGAGCAGGGCCAAGCACTCTCGCGGCTCGAGGCGGCCATCCTTCATGAGAAGGACCAGATCTACGAGAAGGAGCGGACCCTCCGGGATCTCCATGCCAAGGTGAGCCGGGAGGAGCTCAGCCAGGAGACTCAGACGCGGGAGACCAACCTTTCCACCAAGATCTCCATCCTGGAACCTGACACGGGGAAGGACATGTCCCCATATGAGGCCTACAAGAGGGGCATCATTGACCGAGACCAGTATCTCCAGCTGCAGGAGCTGGAGTGTGACTGGGAGGAGGTCACCACCTCAGGCCCTTGTGGGGAGGAATCTGTGCTCCTGGACCGCAAGAGTGGGAAGCAGTACTCCATTGAGGCTGCCCTCCGCTGCCGGCGCATCTCCAAGGAGGAGTACCACCTGTACAGGGATGGCCATCTGCCCATCTCCGAGTTCGCCCTGCTGGTGGCTGGGGAGACCAAGCCCTCCTCCTCGCTCTCCATCGGCTCCATCATCTCCAAGTCTCCGCTCACCTCCCCAGCCTCCCAAACCTCCTGTTTCTTCTCTCCCGGCTTCACTCTTGGCCTCAGTGATGACAGCTTCCCCATCGCTGGGGTGTATGACACAACTACAGACAACAAGTGCAGCATCAAGACAGCCGTGGCCAAAAACATGCTGGACCCCATCACTGGGCAGAAGCTGCTGGAGGCACAGGCGGCCACAGGGGGCATCGTGGACCTTCTGAGCCGTGAGCGCTTCTCTGTGCATAAGGCCACTGAGAGGGGCCTGATTGACAACACTGCCACGCAGAGGCTGCTCAATGCCCAGAAGGCCTTCACCGGCATTGAGGACCCAGTCACCAAGAAGAGGCTGTCAGTGGGCGAGGCTGTGCAGAAGGGCTGGATGCCCCTGGAGAGTGTGCTCCCGCACCTGCAGGCGCAGCACCTGACGGGGGGGCTCATCGACCCCAAGAGAACAGGCCGCATCCCTGTTCCACAGGCTCTGCACTCCAGAATGATCAGCGAGGAACTCGCCCAGCTCCTGCAGGATGAGTCCAGCTACGAGAAGGATTTGACAGATCCCATCTCCAAGGAACGGATGAGCTATAAGGAAGCCATGGGTCGCTGCCGAAAAGACCCTGTGAGCGGCCTGCTGCTCCTTCCAGCAGCACTGGAGGGGTACCGCTGCTGCTACCGCTCGGCCTCCCCCACCATCCCACGCTCCCTGCGCTGACGCCAGCCTCGCAGCTGGGGCAGCGTGTGTTGAGGCAGGTTGGATGCATATACCCCTCACCTACAGAGCGGCCTAATCCCAGACAGTGGGTATTCCCTCTGCTAGACCGCTGTTTTATTATTTTATTACTACTTCGCCATTTGTGGTGTTGGCCTTCCCCACCCAACCTTGGTGCCTGACCCATCCCAGGACCGGGAGAGCAGCAGCTCTGGTTTTCCTCCTCCCTCCCCCACCCAGTAATCCAATAAATGAATTCTCTCAGTGCTGTCTTGTTCACATTTGAGGACACAGGATCCATCTGTCTGGGGTGTGACAGCACTGTGTGGGCCCTTCAGCAGGTGGGGAGTGGACATGCCCAACATGCCTGCCTGGAAAATGGTGCTCTCAGAGGGCTGTGGTTCCTTGGAATCTGGGCAGGGATGTGGTCGGGTGAGTTACAAGAAGAGATCAGGAACAGCCTTGCCTTTCCCTGCCTGCCCCTCCCAGTTTCCCCACTGTCTAGGTTTAGGCCAGGACTGTCTCCAGGCTTCGGTCCCCCTTGTCAAGCCCATGTGTCCATAAGCAGAACGCCAGAGAACTCAGAAAGGTGTCATGTTTATTTTCTGTCAAGCCAAAAGCAAAACAACATAAGCATATCTTAGGTGATAAGTCCTTAGAACAGCCACACACACCCTCACCTCTGCTCTCTCCCTCCAGTTTGACTTGGGAACTCAACTCTTTCCCCCAAACATTTTAAATCCAAAGAGACCAGCAGGGGGCACCCCTTCCTGGGGTCTGGCTCTGTGGCTGCAGCCCCTGCAGGTAAAAAGCATAGCAGGCCCCTGCTATCAACATTGCATCTGCTGTTCCAGTGCCAGGGGATCGATCTCTAACGTACCCCCTCATGCCTAGAGCATCTGTGCCTCTATTTTGAAAAAGCACCATGAAACCCAACGAACAACACAGGAACTCTCTAACCTGTGGGCAAGACAAACCCACACTCAGCCCTCTGCTGGCTGATACCAAATTCCTTAGAGCTTTGCTCTCCCCAGATTTGCTCTCTCCCTTGGGAACAGGTGGGGAGGTAGCTGGGTGGGACTTCCTGTTCTTAACGGCAGTAACGCTCCAGCACACACTGGCTGGAGGCGGGGGAGGGATCCGAGGATGAGAAGTATGGGTGGGCCAGGGCGGCCTTGGCTGAGATCCGCTGGCTGGGGTCATACTGTAGGAGTTGCTGGGAGGAAGGAGGAGGAAAGAGACTAGAGTTGGGTGCAATGAGGGTAGCAAGAGGAACTCCCCCCAGGTCCCAGGGGAAGGCCCCAAGCTCCAAAGCGGCTGCCCTCTAACCCAGAACTGCATGAAGCTACTGCCTCCCAATCCTTAAGCCAGTTCTGGACAGTCCTGGAACCTGAGACAAAGAGTTCATTCTAGTCCGGCCCTGAGTCACCCAGGTCTCTTCAGGCAACTGCAGCTAAGTCAGCTCCCCTTCCAGGTCCCAGCCTGTGCCTGGCTGTGTACAGGAAGCAGGGGCCCAAACCTGTCCAAGGGTACACCTGAGGTGAGGCAGGAATCCAAGGAGCAAGAGGGAGAGAAGGAAGTGCCACCACCATCAGACCAGATTCAGCTCTGCCCTAGAGCCTCTAAACCCAGGCAGGAAGCCAGGCGCAGTGGCTCACGCCTGTAATCCCAGCACTTGGGAGGTTGAGGCAGGTAGATTGCCTGAGTTCACAGGTTCCAGACCAGCCTGAGCCAGAGTGAGACCTTATCTCTAAAAATAGCTGGGCATTGTGGCGGACACCTGTAGTCCCAGCTACTTGGGAGGCTGAGGCAAGAGAATCACTTCAGCCCAGGAGTTTGAAGTTGCTGTGAGCTGTGACATCAGGGCACTCTACCAAGGGCAACATAGTGAAATTCTGTCTCGAAAAAAAAAAAAAGAAAGAAAAAGAAAAAAAAATACAAAAGAAAATATTGACCTGCCCTCCTTGGCCCCAACACTAGATTAAGGAGAGAGATGGGGCTTGGAGACCTTGTGGGTAACCACAAGGCTATGCCTAAGACCTTCTGGGCAGTCTGGCTTGTGCCTGCCCAAGGGATCGATTTGTTGCAACTAGAAGGTTGAGAGTAGAGACTGTGGCAGGAGCCAGTACGCCCTCCGGTGGCAGGGGACAGGCTTACATTCCAGCTGGAGAAGGCACTGGGAACACCAAGGCAGTGGGAGGTGCATCCCCTGTGAGGGAAGCTTGTAAGGCTGAGATGGGGCAATATTGCCCATAAAGGTGATAACCAAATACACACCACAAGGTAAAAGGGCAAGGATCACAGCTTGGGCTACCAAATGAGAGAAGTTTTGAAAGGGAAGATAAACGTTGGACTTACTGTGGGGGAGGGCTCCAGGTTGAACTAGTAGTTCACCCAGGGACAGGGTGTACAAGGGTCAGAAAAGAGACCAGGGCTTGGCGCCTGTAGCTTAAGTGGCTAAGGTGCCAGCCACATACTCCAGAGCTGGCGGGTTCAAATCCAGCCTGGGCCTGCCAAACAAC